ATATCTCGACAAAATGGAGTGGGGGGTAGAATTTTCACCTGAAAGTGGACTATTTCGAAGTTTACAAAGCAACGTGCCTGTGCTACCACTACTCTCGGAGAGGTTCTGTAGTGCTGGTGGACAAAGCAAAATGTGCAGTGAACTGCACTCCTCGGAAGTAACCACATATGCGCCTTCTTGGTCGGATATTTCCTCCACGAACGTAACAGTTTTACTGGAACGAAACATTGTTGATGGAGCGTACAATTCTCAGTCGGTCAATACCATCACCTTCCAAACGGGTAGCTGTGTGGTTGCTGTATCCGCAGCGCCACTTATCCTACACGGTCATACATCTTGGATTTGAGGGACGCTTTTGGCATTCCTCCGCGTCGTACAACTGGGCAATCCTGGGTGAGGTTGACAACTTTATGCATCATTGCTTTTCTATATTTCAATTAATGCAACCGTCTGTGTCTGACTCATTTATTTCCCCCCCTCCCAATCACCTATGGAAATGAGTAACAACAGAGTTCTAGCGGAATCTGATTTTAGGAACGTCCCAGGTAAGGCCTCACCTCAGCTGCTAACCTCCCCATCCTTGGTGGTAACTAGGGCTAGAGGCAAGAGGCTTAATGCCACCGCAAAAGATCACTTGTCGACTTTGGGAGAACAGTTGCAACCACCACTTCCCGGGGATAGTCGAATTCCTGTCCCTCTGAACTCTTGTGCTTCAGTTCGTTGAAGAGCATGTCTTTCTGGCAGCATCAGCTCAAATCCCGGCCCACCTGTGAAGGCCGCCACTGAGAGAGGGAAAAGAAAGTATTTGACTAGGCCTTCAGGCCAGGCTGACGACTGTTACACATGTGGTCTCACCATAGCCAAAAGGGACGCTGCCTTTGAGTGCAACTTCTACAATGAGTGGGTACACAGTCAGCGTGATAAGGACATCCCGAATCAATATTACGCCTCAGTGGCGCGTTACCCATGCATGTGGTTCTGGTATATCTGTCCACAGTGCCCCTTATTTCTGCAGGCTCGCCCAGGGTGGCCATAAAAGACACCGCAGTGGCTACTGTGATGCCAGCACCCGCACAGACCACCGCCTCAGATCCAAGCGACAAGAGCGTCAGCACAGTTCTCCGGAAAGTCGGTCCTGTGACTAGTCCAAAAAGGACCGAACGATGACCAGGCACGTGACCAACGACATTAGTCCCTAACCCTGAAGTCACTTTACTGGCTACCCCCATTGCACATTGAGAAAAGTGTATCACAGCGGAAAAGAAGGTACACCCTTCCCACAAAAACCCACCCACAGTACACGACAACAGAGAAATTGGTGACAGATCGAATTCCGTCATCCTGTTTAACGTCCCTGTGTGCCACGATAGTCTTCTTGAGAACGGAGAGTCCTTTGACGAACAGCAATGGCAGACGGTGTACGCCGTACTAGGAACGGGTATCTCAGAAGCAAAGCTGTGCAGGTTCTACAAAGGCAACCACTCGCCCCTACGATGACACTGACCCTGGTCTTGGCCAGGGAAGCGGAAAGATTCTTGTTGCTGCCACATACACTAGCCGTCAACCGGTCATCCAGCATCAGGGCCAGGCCAGACTGGCCATGGTCAGAGAGAAAAGTATCTCGCGATGCACCCCACGCACCGAATTCAGCAACCATGGTTGTTCACAGCATACCGGAATTAACGGGAGGCACATTGGTAGAGAAGTACGCTCACGACCCCCAACAGTGGCAGAGGTTATCAGTGAGGGTAGGGTTACATTTGACGACGATGACGTCACCCACGCTGATGGCTATTAACTTCTGGTGTCAAGAACTTTTAACCAAAGTACTCCAAACTTGGTACGCAGTAAAAAACGACGTCAGTGGGAACGTTCGTTACTGTGAAAGCAGGCTCAGGACACTGAGATAACAGCAAACGGCAGCTCTGCCGACACTGTCAACAGACGACATATGGAAAACTGCCTAGACTCTATAAAAGCGTCAGAAACCACTGTGGGAAAGAGTGTGATTGGGCCCATTTAACCGGAGCTGGCCGTCCTGCAGCAAATTTCCCCTTTCGCACTGCCCCTTCAGCCCACCACCATCAAGACACCCCATGTTGTAAGAAACATCTCTAGGTGTCTTTATTGCAGCATGAGCAGACTTAGAGGTAAGATGGAGGAACTGCCATCTCTCTGTTCCCATCTTACCCCAAAAACCACAGTCCTAACAGAAAGTTGGTCATCACTGGACGTTACTGACATCGAAACTGGTATAAACGGTATACGTCTGTCAGGAGAGGCAGGGAGTTTAAGGAGGGACGTGGAATGGCAATGTTAATAAGCAACCATCTTAAAAGGGAACGAGCAGCTTTTAGGGTCCCCAGACTCCATCTGATGTCACTGTACGGTTTGCCACACCAAGTGCCTAATAGGGAGCCTCTACAGAATCCTTACTAGCACCGCGGAACCTGGCCAGCAACTGCTCCAAGTAATGCCTAGAGCGACGTCCATGAGATATTACCAGGCCATTGTAGTCGAAGGCTTTAATACTCCAACCCTCTCTGCCATGGTCCTCTAACAACTGTCAAAGCCCTGCGTAGGGAACTTACCAGGAAGCAATGACACCCGGCCGGCCGTGTTGAAACAGTGGGCGGGTGCCTTGTGCAGTCCACTCCGTAATCTGTTTCAACACTCCTAAGACAATCACATGCTTCCGTGAGAGATGGAACGTACTACTCTGTCCTTTATCTTCAGAGGAGGAGACACGCAGGATCCAAAATACCATCGACTCATTGCCTTCTTACCGCTGGTGTCAAAAGCAGTGGAGAACCTGGTAGACGACCATGGGAGAGGGGGGAACACTAATTAACGCCCAGCGTGGTTTCTGAAAGGGTAGGTACAGCGTCTCGAACATTCTGGCGGCCGGTGATGATCAGACGGCATGTTTGCACCTCTAAATTCCTGTTCGTGTTATTTCCTGGATTTTGCTGAGGCCTTTGGCACAAACCCGCAAAACATTCTTATCCACAAAATAACAAGGTTGGGCGTCAACGGTCAAGTGCTCACCTGGCTACAGGACCATTTAGACTGCAGACAACCTTTCGCAAAATCCAACGGAGTTTGCTCAACTTGGAGGACATCATCATCTGGTGTATCACAAGGAACGATTCTGAGTCCGGTTCTGTTCCTTAATCTTTGTGAACGGCCTGCCACCGAATTTCAGCTCCCTAATTATGGAGAGCTGTGACATCCAAAGCGGAATCAAGTGCACTGCAAAGTGATCTCAGCTTATCTGCAGAGTGAGTGGATGTTATTGGACGAGCATTCCATCTGGATAAGTGCCTAACCATGCTTCTCCGCACTATTGACTCCCAGAAAATACCCGTTTCTCTTCGCGGGACGTAGCTCTCCCACGCCACCGAGGAGAAGGACCTAGGATCAGTACTAACTGATAAGCTGGACACTAACTCCAATTGTCCAGGAGATGCCTCCCGAGCCTGCACTTCATACGCTGACAACCAGGTGTCTTACCCTGGAACCCTTTTAGAAGCCGTACTAAACCTACATACTACCTTGCTTAGGGGTCCGCAACATCGTTGCACCACCATATCTGAAAAGAGATGTGGACCTCCCGGAGAGGGTCCAAAGGCGAGCAACAAAGGGTGTCTTGGGAATGAGACGAAAACCCCGTGAAGACAGGCTGAAAGATCCAGGACTTTACTCTCTAAGCCAGCGTAGATTACGTGGCGACTTGATAACGGCTAACAAAATGCTAGGCAACTCAAGTCATCCTAACAGCTGAGTCCTGCAGAACGACCACTGCAGCCATCCTCGCGGAATCACACACCAAAGGGCGAAAACCCATGCGCAGTGACACTTCTCTCTGCGAATTTGCGGCCACTGGAACGCACTGCCTACCGAGATTGCCACTGCTCCGCCTGTTGACAGCTTCAAGAAGAGGTTGGGCAGCTACGCATGGTTTACGCCCATCCAGCTGGGATATAGAGTAGGCTAACAGGACCTATTAACTCATCACGGGCAACCCATTACCAAATACTTTGTAACACTACTGTCACTGAAGACTTGGCACGACCTTATACTTCCCTGTAGACGTCTCCTGCAGTCACCATCTCCCACTAATGGAATTACTACCACTATTCTCACAGGCCATCCTGTAATGTTATTTTCTCCTTCTCTTCCTAATGAATTTATGTTCCCACACCTTAGTAAAAACTCCCCTTATCACCCTCCCCCACGAATCTATCGATGTTTATCCTTCACCTTCGTTTCCTTTAACCTAATCGTTTTTTCCTATTGTTTATTTTTCTTCTCACCTTCTCCCCATTGATTTCTCTGGACATACTCTCTATCATCATTTCACAACCAGTCCGACCAATTGTCTGCTGACATGACACTTGAGGAACTCATTTGCACCACGACTCTTGGAAAAAAACCCCACACACTCCCTACAAATTTGACCGACACTCAACCATCCGTCGGGCTAACCGGCTCTACAGCAGTCGAGTGGGTAGACCTAGTGTATCGGAGTCCACCAAATACCTGGGGCCTTTCCGCAAGACCCAGAAGCTGGAGCGAAGAAATCAATCGGTTAGTACTAGCTGGTAAAAAGATACTGGATATTGGAGCAGTTCCCTTGCCCCTCGAACAAACCAGCTTGCATTTCGCAAATGAAAACCGTCAAAGAGATAATCCCTACCTCCAAAGCTATGAACAGGTGAACTGAACGGACCTCTGCGGCCACCAAAGGAGTGCAACAGAACAAAAGGAACCATTGTTCAAGAGCTAGAAGCAAGGATTTAAAATCTACAAGTTCCCCCTACTTGCACTATTGGTGGTTAATTTTGGAAGTTGGGTGTTCTAAATGCTTCCGATGATATAGATGCTCAACCTCTGACCTCTCCGCAAAACGACAGATTGCCGACTATGCAGATGTAAGGTAGGTGTGACTCTTGAGTTTTGAAACCTTATAGCAGTTTATCGCAACCACTTTGAAGGGTACTCCAAGTCACATGAATTCGAATTAGTGGAGTGCATGGTTTGTCCGATTATGTTTCGGTTTTAAAGTAGTTTGTCTAAAGCTAATCTATTCTTATACATGACAGCGATAGCGGTTGCTTGAGATACTGTCTGCAGATAGCTCGGTAACATGTCATCTAATACCTGTCCATTTATAAACGAACTATTATTATTTTTTTCATTAAGTAATTAGTCTTTCATTTCTGATTTTACAGATCGTATACACCCCTCAGGAAGATTTCAACATTTAGCTGTGGATTAAAAACACGCTTGAACCTCTTATCTGCGGTACACAATATGTCAGTCGGTGACGATTTCTGTGAATTGGATGGCGTGCCGGCTGCAGATCTTTTTAAACCTGGACTTGGGTTGACTTATAAGTAATATGATCTTAACGTTGCTTTGAAAATTTCAAAGTGATGTAATTATTCTCCCAGGATACGTTGGGTTTAGTACTGAAGAGATTGACATATCTAGTCGAATAACTAAACGATTTTCTCTGAAAATTCCGTTTGCTTCGTCACCCATGGACACAGTTACTGAGGCGAAAATGGCAATTGCTATGGGGGTAGGTTGTTGAATTTGTACACGTCTCTTTTCTCATCGTTAGCTTTGTGGTTCAATCGGGTTCATCCACCACAACTGTCCCACAGAGTATCAAGCCAACGAGGTTAAGAAGGTCAAAGTATGTTTGTATTTTTTGTATTCTCGTTGAATTTCGTGTAGCGCATTATTTTGCAGATTTACTATGCGTCTAATAACTACTGTAATGTGCAAGTGGCTTTTATGTGAAGGCTAGTATAGTATATCTAGTGTGTATCACGTCAGTGAACTGCAAATGCTTTATAATAACTGTTACTCTCCTTAGGAAACTTAGCGACGTTAACATCACTTGCGTGCATTGACAGTAAAACTGCAGGTGCCTGAATGCAGAGGTATACATTGTGTAACTTGTCGGCCACTGGTCTTTATCCAGCACTTCGTTGGTTCGAGTGGTGCTTCTGATCGAGTTCTGAGCAACTAATTACTATCACACTACAGAAACTTTGATTTGGTCAAACGCATGGAAAATTTCTGCTTTGTAACATGAATTAATCCGTTGTGAAGAATATTTCTCGACCAGCTTAACTGAAAAAATGAAAATATAATTATTGACATATATTAGTAAATGTGTTATCAAAAATTCCAACTTTTAGGGTGATGATAAGCAGTAAATTTGGTGGAAATTCTACCAAAACCTTAAGATCTGATCGTCGCTCATAAAAATTTGCTGTGAATCAGCGTATTGTAAATTCTAATCTATTGCATGACAGACTTAAAATAGTTAACATACAGTCTTGGTACTTTCTGTTGGCACCCAGATTAATCTGATTTTTAACGCGGTCAGCATATCTCAACTTATGATCCTGCATCAAAGTTAAGAATGACGAGGAAAGACCTTTAAAATGCCGTTAAAACTTACAACGATTTTGAGATGGAATATAAGCCTTATTTTAACTAAATCGACCTTATTTCTGCTATACATGAAAATCCTAAAGCACAAGGTAGTCTATTGATACTCAACTCTGACTATATTTTTTAGCCGTTTGGCCGTGTTCAAACACCGATTAAGAGGTTTCATGGTGATAACTTACAGTGAAGTAGGTATCTGACAGGTATTTTGCTGTCCCTTGTTGGATTTTTGATCGAGTCACTGTGGTCCTGCTAGAGCCTACCTTCGTAATTTGCATAGTCTTCTAAACACTAAACGACGATCCGAATGTGCAAATTGTTACTTCTGTATTCGTCTGCATCGAAACCATTTCTGAAAATTGGGATAAGCATGTTTAAGCACATTGATTTTTTTGCATGGGAAGTCCTACAAGCCATTCGTAGCTGGGAAGACCTCGTTATGGGTACATAGTTTGTTTATCTTCTAAGTTACTTGAAGTATTGGTGTCATGTCTGAATAGCTACTACCTGACTATTCTGTGTGGCATAATTGTATATTCTACGACATACCTGGGAAAATGGCTAATCAAGGTGAAAGACCTGATATATGGTCACTGTTACCTTCATAAAGTCGTTCACACGCTGTACAATCTTCCTGTTAGTAATTTTGAGATCAGGCTCACTGTAATAGGACAAGACTGCAGATCAGTCGGTGAAAGTAAACGTCATATTGTTTTGGGATATGCATTGCACTTTCCTACGGTTATTGTATTACAGCACGCTTTACTGAATGGGATTCCGATGCATCAATACCGGATGCTGATTTAATTATTGGAAGTTTTTATTTCATTTGAAACGATAGATCCTATGCCCAATGTTTAATCACTCATCGAAATTGTGTGAGATTTTACTTCAGTTTTCCAGGATTTTTCATATAGTCTGCTCAAATAGGTTGAACGCTAGGGTGAGGTTTTTATGGCTTTAGCAAATTTTCTCCTCTATGGTGACAGTGAAAAGGGAATAATTTTCTTGGTATTATTCTGAATATCAACTCTTTTTGCATCGGGTAACAATACACCTTAACTTTATTGAACTGGTTTATCTCATGTATCCACGGTTTACTCAAGTTATATCTTATTCCTTTGTCCTTTCTATTTTGAAGTCAATGGTATGTTGCAAGTGTTCAAGTGTTGCATAATCAAACTTGCGTGCTTTCTCCTGTCACTTTATTGTCTAGTATAAACACGAAGAATTTCGTCAGTGTTGTGTAAAGCACATCTGCAATATCTTGCTGTTTTGCCCGATGACTGTGTAGTTTACTTTTACGTACACCTTTTTTGTGGAATTGGTGTTATCAGTGATCACTGACTTAGTGTAATAAATATCACTTCTTTTCTTCAGGATAGATTGAATTCTATCAACTTAGTTTGTAATGTGATCCACGAACTGTGACTGAACTATGCATCCCACTTTACTAGAGGACATTGTTACTCATTAGTTAAGGTATATTGTGAAACTGTATATCCAAAGTGATGTCTTTCAGCGTTTTATATCAAGTACTGCATTTCAAAGCGTTGCAAACAAGAGTTTTTAGTCGAATTTTCTTACCAGGAAATATCTTCGATTGGACACAATTTCACTTTTCATAAATCCACACTACAGCATGTCACATTTTCTATCATCATGAAATTAAACCTTTTGTTTTTTGTTTGCCGGAAGGTTTGCGGAAGGTCAACTTTATATCCGACTTACAGTGAGCTAAGCACTAATTTGTATTAGCAACCCACCTAAACTAGTATTTTTCTAGGTAATGACACCATTCGATGATCTTGTTACTGCATTTTCTGGCATATATATATATATATATATATATATATATATATATATATATATATATGTACTGTGATTATTTCTATCCGCAGAGTTAACTGTCCTTGTATTTATAAAGTTTCATTAGCTTGCCTTTCATCTTAGTCAGTGCATGATTATGTAGTTTTTTTAATTCGTACAGTAATATTTTAACATCATACTCCTTTGTCGTCTTTGACTACCTGGTTGAGGTCCTCAAGACGAATCAGCGATTGAGAACTGATTCTTAGCGACATGACTGGAAATCGGTCACAATGGCGTAGATGTATTCACTCCTAGACCTCTACAATGGATATTCTTACACTATCCGTTATCCTCAAATTGTTTACTATCTCATATAGCTTTTTCTACTTTAATATCACTCTATCCACCTGTGTCTAAGGTTCTACGTTCAGTCAGTCAGTTTGCTGTCTTTGAAAAAAACAGCATAATTTCAATTTTAATCATGATTATTACTCAAAAATCACTTGGCAACCGCGTACATGTTCATACACTAGACGTCAAGCCAAACCTGGCTGCTCAGACCTTAGGAAGTTAAGTGGCTTTCGGCCTGTTTGAAAGCCTAGTGCGTGGATGAATAAGCCATTGTTTTTTTACTTCGAAAGAAGTTGAGGATTAACATTTTGGCAACTTGTGTGTGTAAATAACCTATCCAATTTTCTGAACCTTGTTTCCATTTCACCTTCATTTTGCTACAATTTCAGAAATACAAACAGGGTTTCATTTTATCTCCGATTGTCGTTTCACCAAAACAACCAATTTCTGACATTGTTGATATAAAAAAGCAGCATGGATTTAGTGGAATCCCTGTAACGGAAGATGGTAATATGGGCAGCCGCCTAGTTGGCTTAGTCACTTTGCGGGATATGGATTTCTTAGATCCCAAGGATTTTACGACACCTGTTGAAAAGGTTTGCTCATTTTTTGTGTTCTTTTTCAATGATTTCTGTCTGTGTATGAATGAACAGTAAGTATTACAGTCAGTCAAAATATCATTCTGCTGAGTCTTGTGATGGGATAAAAGCGTAGATTACTTTGTTAACCACACATAAGCAAATACGGTCTTTGTTTCGTTTAGCAACAACAACTTTTATGTTCGTAATAAAGAATCATTTTTATAGGAGTTACTTTTATTGCCCTCTAATTTAGACCGTTGGTTGATAAGATTGTGCCGTAGGGAGAGAAGTCCGAGGATGACATGGAGGAGATCGTTTGAGGAAGAAATGGAAGCTTCTGAGGAGTCATGAAGCCAGGTTCAAAAGACTGCAGAGGACAGAGTAAAGTCCCACTATGTCCCAATAGGAACCTAAAGGACAAATAATAATAATACTAAGTAGGGAGAGGGAAATGTCACCTGTAAGTATTCATTTTTCTATTCACCATCGCCCTTAGGCTTTGTCAGTCATGTAAGCATAATAGCGTGATGTCGTATGTATTTGAAGTAATTGATGTTATGTTAATTTTTTGAAGAATCGGTTTGTCGGATGCATGATAAATATAACTTATTCCCAGAACCTCTGGAATAGTATCTACAGTTGTTTATATATTTCAGGAGTATTCACTTTTCAAGTGAAAATGTTCTGTTAACTGTGACTGGCATGTTAGCTGTCTATTGATTACTGTTTTTCTGCTACGCTAACTAAAGGAATTGATTTCTATTATTTTTTGAGTGATTTGCAGTTTGACAGTTATCAACACACGCATTCGAAACAGTGCGACCGGTAAGGATGTAAGAATATGTTGATAAAAATCAGGAAAATGGTATAAAATCTAATAAGACGACACAGAGGAGCATAAAATAATCTTGATGATTCACAGTGGATCAAAGTTTGACTGCAGCCAGCTCGGTACCGTGTGTTTTGGTCAACTTATTAAAAATTTACAGTTATTAATACATGATGAAAACTACTTTTGAGTCGATCAATTGGTCCTCACAAATCGATCAAGTTCCTGTTATATTCAGGACTTCATTTGATAAACATACGCCTATCTTAATGACTTTAAAAAACAGTGAACAATTTCACTACTTCGGCGTATTTTCCATCCGATCGAATTTGGTGGTTGTTTGAATTTATCCCTATTTCCTTCGTGATTTTACTTCAAGGAAATCATATGCCTGTGATACTTACTAGTTCGCAGCCTTATCAGAAAGCAGTTGATTAATCTTTTATACTGAATTTTTATCTATTGTACTGATGGTACTTTTCAACGTTTGCTTGCATTTTTAGCAGTGGAACCTATTCCTCGTCTCTAAAAGAGGTTATTTCTACTCTTTATTTGTTTCATTGCCCAGATCATAGTTAACTTAAGTAAAGAGATCATAAATTTTGAATTCGGCTAACTAATTTATTTTTCTAGGTAATGACCCCATTCGATGATCTTGTTACGGCATTTTCTGGCATCACACTGACTGAAGCTAATGATATCATTCGAAGAAGCAAAAAAGGTAGGCATGCGAACTTGTACTCTTTGATAACATGTTACCTTATAAATTGTTGTAGTGCTAACCTTCAGAAAGTCTGTAACATAATTCAGTCCTGCAGGAGGTCAGTCGCGTCCTGAATAACCCAGTGGTAACGTCGATGACTGCAACATTGGTTGATGCGCGTTCGAATCTCAGGGGGAGGGCATCACTTCGCTCGGAGTTGCAGATACCCCGTGCTAACAAGTGCCCTAAAGCATGAAACCTACGTCTGGGAATTGTTGCCGATTGCCTCCAACCAATTAACCTCTAATGCATCCGTACCATTTTGCTAAGAATGTGAAAGGATTCCCACTCAAAAAACTAGGAATAACTGAGCTGCAAATATAACTAAACATTGATTCATTGCAGGCTACAGTATACGATAATGCTGTATTGCGGTAGACTCATGTATATTAATAGGCTAAGCTGACATTAAATGTAACGGTAATGATTGAGTGTCATTTGAAAGAGTTTTAACAGGATCTTTTAGCAGTAGTTATTCAGTTTATGAATAGTGTAAATAATTCGGCAACCACGTGAAAGTTTGGGTACCAGATGATGCGGTACATCTATTGTATGAGGGCTGTTGATGATGCCCAACTATTCATGCACTAGATAACAGAACGTATATGTCATGCAAGAGTAAGTGACACAATTCTTGTAAAAGATAGTATAGAAATTCATTCTTGACTACGATCGTTGAGTGTTGTAATTCTATTATGAACTGTGACAAATACTTATTGGTAATTGTTACGTTTCAATAGTCATGAAGATGCCTTGGCAAATGAAAGAGATAATATCATAAAAGGTGATACTTATTTTCTACACTAACGACACAGTGAATATACCAATGTTCTAGTAGTTTTTTGAATCAAAAACTTGTATATTTCTTAGCAAATCGCTTACAAATACATATTAGTTGTTTACCTGTGAAACAGACAGTGAGAACTTCTTTGATGTTTCAATTAGTGAAGGTCGTTACCGTTACAATGCATACAATAATCTGGATAATAAACCAATACATTCGTTGTAGACATGCTAATGAAATGAAGATGTTAAGTGAATTGCCGCTTACTTTTCGTTGCTTGGACAATAATCCTTCTGTTTCTAACCAGGTGATTGTTTTTATCTGGCACACAATTACGTAAGGAATATATTCCTTACCTGTGTTCGTATGTAGTTCCGTAATCGTGTGAAATGTTTCCATCATGTGGAATTGGGTGGAAACAGTATCGTGTAGGTGATAGACGAAATCTTTGACCAATAATTAAATCACTGTTGGTATTCACAAATTTACAAATAGGTAGGAAAGGCCTACTGATTTGGTAAGCTGTTGCAGGTAAAAGTTAATCTACAGACTATCGGTTTAGGCAGTCGGCTTCCAACCAAGGAGTCATGGCATGAAAACCCACACTGTTTACCAACATTATGAATTATAAGTGTAAAACTTGGGTAATGTGGTAGAATGTTTATTTAATATGTAGCGCACATTGATACAGTATTACTTACTTGATGACATTTCGAGCATAAATTATCACTGCTCATAATCAATAATATCAATGTAATCACACTACTTTCGACATCTGATTTGTATAGTCATGTCACCTGATATTCTTTGCTTTTATTGGCAGTAAAATTTTCCGTATATCTGGTATGGGTGTTGCATCATTTCTGTTACATGAGTTGTTTGTTGATTCGATGAACAGATTCAGTAACGAATTTCTGTCTCTCTCCACCTAATTATATTGGACTTAATTATAGTGGCTTTATTCTACCCTATTGTGTTTTTATGTTTTTATCATGGCCATAACATTTTACCACCCCATTAGCTTTCCCCCCTTTCAAGTTGTTATTCATCGAAGACTGACATCAGTTGGAGGAACAAAAGAAACCTGGGAGCACTGGACAGCTGTTTCGTCCTAGTGTGGGACTCCTCAGCAGTGCGCACCCACTGATGTCAGTCTTCGATGAATAACAACTTGAAATATTTCCAAATCTCCACAACCCCTCAAAATTTAATTTCCCCCCTTTGTTTATCTAACCTTTGTATCTTTCTGTTATCACTATTGTTTTTGTTATAATTCCCTTCACTTTCATTAGTTTCCGGTGTTATTTCACTTAATTGTCTCTTTAGAGAACATTGATTTCATCTTGACCAACTTGTCTAATCCTATTACATAATACTTAACTGATTTACCACTTTCATTAATTTTTTCACCCCTCTCCGAGTTAAAAACTTTCGATAAACCATTCCATGTATTACGCAATCTACTTTGTTATCATTCACACTTTAATTGTTATCATAATCACAAATGCCTATGTCATCTTCCGCTCTATTATTATTGTCATCACCATATGGTGTTTAGTTTTCCTCACGGGATATAATTTTTCAGATATCATATGAATACGATTGTAAATTCGTTGAAAAGATTCTCTTCGCTGAATATTTGATTTATAACACACAGTGATCTTGTGTTATTTACTTGATGACATTTCGAGCATAGATTACTGCTCATAATCATATCAATGTAATCGCACTACTTTCAACATCTGATTTTCATAGCAAAATAATCTAATCTATCAAATTCCATGTGATGACTGAGTCAGATCAGGTCAAGTACATAGGTCAAACTAGACGGTCACGGTTAATTAGAATAACCGAACATGGGAATTTAGCTAAATATCGAATGACAGACCCGAATGAGATGTATAATCTAGAAAAACACTCGGCTATTGCATTGGATGCACTAACATACAACCACGCAATGGGGTGGGATAAAGCCACTGTATAATTCAGTGGGAAGAGAGATTGATTACTGAATCTTCGTTCATCGAATCAACACGCATCACATATAATAGGAATGACGCAACACCCATACCAGCGATATGAAAAATTTTACTACTAGTAAAATCATATCACATGAGGTGACGCAACTATACAAATCTGATGTCAAAAGTGGTGTGATTACATTGATATGATTATGAGCAGTGATAATGTATGCTCCAAATGTCATCAAGTAAATAATACCGTATCGCTGTGTGTTATCAATCAAATAAAGAGATCTAATATGGGATATATGTCATTATGAAAGTTAGAATGATACCAAAAAACTGTTGCTTATGGTCTCACATGTGTATTTGTCTAGTTGCCTGGATTATATTGCGTTTTAGGGTTTCCTATATCTTGCACTTTAAAAGATCATAAAATGTTTAAAGATTCTTTTGTATTAAGGATTGGAACAGACATTAAACAACCAAGTCACTTTAATGGACTTCAATATTTTAAGGTCTCCCACGAACTTCAATCACCTTAACTTGTTACCCCGTTGCATCCTCGTTTATGAAGATATTCGCGAATCTTCCCAGCGAAACAGCATTGATTGACTATATATTAAATGTGATGTACTTCAATGTTGGTTAACGATACAACCAATGTGTTGTCTAATTTACAGGATTGCTGATGGTAACAGTGCTATGCTGAAAAACAATAGAAGGCCATTTCGTCTTATACTGATTAGAAGACACGAATTCAAAAGTGCATATATATATATATATATATATATATATATATATATCAATGCTCAGACAGCTGTTCCGAATCATTTTTCCCTTTTCATGCAATGTGTTTAGGTAAACTACCGATCATCAATGAAAATCGTGAATTAGTGGCATTGATTGCACGAACTGACTTGAAGAAAAATAGTGATTATCCTCTGGCCTCCAAAGATTCAGAGTCAGTTTTCATTTGACTATGTTTATTACATTTTCTTTTATCTATTGAGGGCAAGTGTTGAATTTTCATTTATGAGTCCCAGCTTATATTCTACTGAGTCATTAATGAAGTCAGGTTTTTGGAAAGTGAAGTTGATCGTCTGTATATCATTCAGTCGATATAGGAATGCACTCAGCAACCTTGTGCACATTTGTGCACTAGTCAATGAGCCACAAACCTATTGTGTGAAGGCTTACGATAATATCTGGCTGCCCAAACTTGGGTAGGTGGAGCAGTATTCATTGGTTCATTATCGAAACTCAGTAATAATAGTTTACGCTAATATAAAACGTTTGTTCATTTTATTGTTTTTGACTTCCCTTCATAGTTCTCATTTTTATTTCTTTGCTCTCTAGAAATCAGCTAATTGTAGGTGCAGCAGTTTCTACACAAGAGGGAGCTATGACTCGTGTTGAAGCACTAATTAACGCTGGAGTCGATATTATTGTTGTGGTGAGTAACTTTCCTATTTTCTTGATATTTTCCTGTGTTTTAATACCACATTAAAGCATGGAATATTGACTGTTGTGATGGAGTATCAATTCCACTCCACTGCGTTTTTCTATTTGTTTTTGAGACCCAGTCAAGGTAAATGTTGAGTATTTCGTTGCAAGAGGTGACTGTATGTGTGTTGACTATTTTTGTTAGGGTTATTTTCCACAGTAATGGTAATCTCTGAAGACCAGTCAAGTCGTTTCAAATCTACAGTCTTTGAAGGTAAAAATAAAAGTGGTCTTACAGAGTTCGAAGAAGCTACATTTGTTACTAATTCTCATGTCCATATCCCATTCCCATCTTTCAGATTTGTGTCTAAAGGATCTATATGTTCTGTTCACGCACTTTGGTGTGACAAGTGTCTCGTTATCAGTAGGCATCTCATACTTCACAGCCTATCCTACTAAAAGGATAATTAATGTAAAACTTATTCACAGTCCTAAAGAAATCCCGTAAGTGGGACAAATTGTGAATATGATTGATTGATTTTGCTACAACTAGTAAAATTTTGTGAGTGTATCATTCGACCAAGCTATATGGCATAAATATGTTATGTAGATAACAAGAGACACTATGAGTATTAGGGGTTCTAAATACGTCCTTATTAGTGAATAAGGGTGAAAATGTTTTCCTTTAAATTTCATAAAGCGATTTCTAGGTTACCGTCAGATGCCTTACTACCTTAGCTACTACACAGGACTTTTAATTACGTTTCCATCCTGCTACAGTTACAAAGTATGTTATTCGACAATTGAGTGGATCTGAGACAGCCACTGATCTACAGAATTTCTGATACAGATCTGTCAACGTTGACTTATTTTATAACGTATTATCCCCCTCTTATAACCTTCAGATTGGCCCCCTTCTTGGTCGCTCGGTTTCTCGATAAATCAAAAAAAGTGGTAAGATAACAGCAAATGTAATGGAACCTCAGAAATATCTACAGAGTCAAACGGTTTACATATATTTACAATGACCTTGGCCATTTCAAGGCCTTTCCAGATTTTTGTCCCTTCAACCAACCTGATATTCAGACGTTGGTTAATGCGCTTTCTCTCGAAACTTCGGTACAATATGATTGGTTGGAGAAAGCTTCAGGGACTTAGGGGTTTTTTTTATGAAGATTATGATAATCTTATTCCATACTATCACAAACTACATCAGCTAGATGTAGATTATTCTTGAAGGTTTCTTTGTGTCTGTCATTCGGTCGTGTCCATGTAGTAAGGTGTTTAATACCTACAAATATCTTATGTTTTGTGGATGTTGGAAGTAATTAATAATCCTTATGAAACTCATGTTTCCTCAGGGTTTCACCAGTAAGCTATTCCTCCATGTTATAACTAGCTATCTGTAATACTGAGCTGTATCTATGACCTTGTTACTAGGTGGTAACTGAAGTAGCTGTCTACTGTATGTACGACTAATGCTGACCTAGGAAACTTGATTAATAGACTTCTGTCAACACTGAACGTGAAACTTGACAGATATGTAGGTCACCATCTTGTGACCACTATGTGTATCAAGAAGCCGTACTGAATCCAACTATGAGTATGAGTATGAGTAACATGTCGGTTAGTTCTTTGCTGAGTAGGACTATGTTTCGGTGAAAACGTATGTATAGATATATTTTAGTCCACTCAAATTATTTTACTACAATTCGTGTATACTCTTGTTAGGATCTTAGATTTCATCTCACAAATTTACGGTTCATAATCTACAGAGGTTTTTTTGAATGCTCATTTGTAGACTAACATTTCGAGGCTATTTTAACTATTGGTTATAGTGCAGATACACAAAAGGGTGATGCTAATTTATTTTGCTTATATACTTATAGCTATTTCGTGGATTCAATAAACCATGGTAGAGTTCAAAGGTGTTACTTATATTCAGGCTTCATTCTTTCTCATTTTCTTCATTTTGTAGACAAGTAGTGGAGTTAACTTAGTGTAGACTGTAGATTTTAAAATATTTCTGCATATATTTTTATTCACATGACACATAAGGCTTAGTTTGTTTGACCCATTTAATGGTATATCGGTACTGATTAATTTTGAAGTTAGTCTGTGATGAATACTACGTTAAAACCGAATTTACTTGAATACTTGCTTAGTAGTGTATATGGTGACGGACTAAGGTAATGCTGTGCTTCGTTTCGTGTATCTACTCCCATGTGTCCTGTATCTAAGATATAATACCTTAATTGTATATTTCATCTGAGAGAAATAAAGTATAGATTTCATCTAATGATGGCCCTGCTTAGAATTGAGTTATTCAGTCCTCAATCTATAGAATTTTGTTCAAATCTCTTTCAAACTTGCATATTAAACAATATTTCTATTATACACTAGGTTTATTCACAAGTGATTCAAAGTTTAAATTATTATCATTATCATTGAGGCTCAATTTGGTACCTTCCAAATACATTATTCTGTCTTTCTAATGTATTCAAATATGAACTGAAGATATTTCTAAGTGTGTTTACACATTGTTTCTTCTGACAAAATACGATAAAAAAAGAAAGAAAGAAAGTGTACTTTTATAGGTTCAGTTGTGTTACATTATTTTACTCGAAAAAGTTCATCTCTCCATTTCTATTCTACTGGTGATATCAAGTTTTTCTCAATGATTTTCAAAATGATCAATTATCAAATATTTTGGAGCAGAGTATTCTTATTTGGGCGAAACATTTGTACTTTTATAATTTCCCATACTGTATAAATTACTGATTGCCTAATGGGAAGAAATTCACCTTTCTTATTTGGTAGACCATTAAATATTTTGTACCAATTAGAGATGAAGAATTACTTGTAACTGAATAAAACGTTTATTGGTCACTAATCCATGACCCTTAAGTTAATACTTGCATGAACATTGTGGGTTAATATTGAGGGGTAAATGTCTTCCGGTGTAGCCTATTATGAAGAAGTCATCAGTACACTCTCATCCACCTTGTCCAAATTCGTACAGTAAGCAATGAACCACACCTGTTTTATGAGGGCTAGTGGAGTGGGACTCGGACCCACTGGTTGGTCGTCATCTCCTTAAACCACTGAGCCATGGCCCTATAAGTCATGTGGTGTATCAATACCACACTTAACAAGTATTTAACTTCCTATACTCTGCTAGTTTGTAATAATTGTGCCTACCTTAGTCACAGACGTCCTTGGTAGTCATACCTTTCATCGCTCATCTCGATAGTGTTCTCGACGTTAGATGATTGATTGTCAAACTGTCTAACGTAGTATTCGACTCGTAGATATTTATTTTAAGTCCCACTAAGAAGATAAGTCAACTTTTTGTCAATCAAACAGCAGTTCTTTGTATTAATATTTTGCTAAACTTCTTGATAAACTATAGAATTATGAACATTCACTAATCCCCCTATCCATATGATCCATTGTATGACTGTTAGAATCAGTTGAACTGCACAGGATTTCCGATCCCAGTGAAACAGCACGTAAAATTTGTTTATATTTAGCGTAATAAGAAGATGAAGATTGTTTGAAACACTGAACAGTCTGATGACAAATAAACTCGTCAGATTATTTACCTGGAGATTTAAAAAATAGTTAAGTGACTTAATTATCTTTCATATTTGCATAGTTCTTGTTAACTTATTTCATATTATATAAGTTTTCGTATAAATACCTTGACAAGCGCATTTGTGGTCAGTGTTTGAAATGCACGGCGCTAGCACAGATGTTTCAGATAGCTGTCATTTTATCACTATATTTTTTGTGTTTTCAAGCATGTTAATTTTGATAATTATTTGGTTTTCTCTGAGCTTTATCAGCAATTACTCCACTTCTTTGTGAAGTAAGTACTGATAAAGTCACCTACTTTGGTGATGAAGCGTCCAGGAACAAAACCAAAAGCTCGGAAAACAAAAGACAGTTAACATCCTCATCCTGAATTACAAATTTTGTTCACAATCTCATTAATTTTATACCGTTATTTAAAACTGTGTCCACGCTTATTGTTAGTTTTATCAGTGGTTGTAAACTGTTCCAATTTCTTGATTAATTGCCTGGGCGTATCTCATACGTCCTGATATCACATTCAATTACGATAGTGGCTGTGATTGAAGTAAATTAACCAAAGTTTCTGAGTTATCAAACTGACTCACAATACCACTGCTAGTGTGAACAGTTTATTTTTAGAGGTCAGCAGAAATATGTGATCTGTCACTCACTGATGTGAACGCATTAACTTTTTATTTTTGCCTAGATGAATCTTATCATATCTTTTACAGTAACTTGTTATTATTGGGTTATTCTTACTGTTCTACTTTCCGGTTTTATTAGCTTGTCAATTCGAACTAATGCACTGTTGTATGATGATCTGATTTTCACGTAGTTACAGGGAAAAAGTTCACTTATGCGGTGCTTGTGCCATTCTAAATCTTTGTTCCCAACAAACTACAAGGTTTCTATAAATAAATAATTCCTATCATTTTTGATACAGGCTACAGGTAATAGAGACCTGACAACATTTTATCAAATAACCAGGTTACTATCTGGGAAGAGATCAACACACATGAAACCAATAAAAGATGATGAAGGAAATATAATTACAAAAGAAGAGAAACAAAGGAAACAATGGGCTGACCACTTCAAGAAGCTGTTGAATCGACCACCAGCACCACCTGCACTTCGTCCAGAAATACCACCTGCAGCCCAGCAACAGAACTACAAGTGAACATAAATCCTCCAACAAAAGTGGAAGTCCTGAACGCCATAAAGCCACTGAAATGTGGGCAAGCAGCACGACCAGATGGGATCCCACCAGAAACACTGAGAACAGACACAGAGACAAAAACGGACATGCTCACACCACACCACTATTGCAGAAGGTGTGGAAGGAAGAGAAGGTACCTGGCGATTGGAAGAAGGGTTACCTTGTCAAACTGCCGAACAAGGGAGACCTAAGTATTTTCAAGAACTGGTGCGGAATCACTCTCCTGTCCACCCCAAGCAAAATATCAAGCCACATCATCCTGGAGAGGCTAAATGATGCACTGGATTCAAAACTACGACCCGAACAGGCTGGCTGGATTCACGAAGTACAAATCATTTGTGAACCAAAATGCAACGCTTCGCTACGCATCATCATAGAACAGAGTAGAGAATGGCAGTCAGCTCTACACCTCAACTTTATCAACATTGAGAAGGCCTTTGACAGCATCGACCGAGAGGTATTTTGGCAGTTGCTTCAATACTACGGAATACCACAAACCTTTATCAGCCTCATTCAACAACTATATGAAGACACCTCATGTCAAGTGATTCACAATGGGAAGCTCAGTGATGCTTTTGAAGTGCAGACAGGAGTGAGACAGGGTTGCCGCCTACTACCACCCATGATATTCCTGATTGTGGTCGACCGGACTGGATCATGCAGCAAACAGTGAGGAGCGAGAAGAGGGGGATACAATAGCTGGACCGTGGAAAGGAACCTAAAAGACTTGGATTTCGCTGATGACTTGTGTCTGATGTCACACAAACATGAAGATCTACAGGTGAAAACTAACAAGTTGTCAGAAGAGACAGAGCAGTGAAGACGATACTTCAAGTGAATATAGAGAAGACAGAGGTGATGAAGATACCCAACCAACCAACAACAACAACAAACTCCAATCACTATCATGGGGAGAAACCGAAAGGAAGTATCCTCCTTCACCTATCTAGGCATGCAGCACTGTTTCAACTACAGGTGGCACAGACGAGGATGTCAAAGTCAGAGTAGGAAAAGCAAAATAAGCGTTCATTAGCCTAAAACCATTGTGGAGATCTTCTGCACTGCACTCAGCATGTGGAACAAGATGCGGATTTTCAACACCAACGTCAAATCAATGCTTCTGTATGATTCAGAGACTTGGCGTGTTACGAAAGGGATTTCCAATAAACTACAGACATTCATCAACAACTGCTTATACTCGCTACTGAAGCTCAGATGGTCAGAAAGAACAAGCAACGAGGAACTCTGGGAACGAACCAACCAAGAACCTATCACGCAACAAATATGCAGGAGGAAATGGAGATGGATTGGGCATACACTGAGAAGGCCGACTGGGGACATCACGTGTCAGGCCAGTTGGTTGAGTGGAATCCCTATGGTAAGCGACGAGTTGGACGTCCGAGGAGAGGGTGACATGGAGGAGATCGTGCGAGGAGGAAATGAGAGCTTGTGGGCTGCCGTGGAACCAGGTTCAAAAGATCTCAGAGAACAGAGCGCATTGGAGATGTGCTATCGAAGCCCTGTGTTCCATTAGGAACCCTAAGGGACAAATAATAATAATAATCATTTTGATAACAGAAATCCATTGGTTGACTCGTAATTTTTGGAAGTAAACACTGACAAGTTCATCTGTACTTCTAGTATATTCTATCAGCACATCAGCTTGTTTATATTCAACTTGGTTTAACTTCGCTCAACAGTTAAGCTTAGCTGCATCTAACTTCACAGGGATTTGTCTACTCCCTGGGGCCAATCTAGTTGATTTGGAGTATGCAGACAATATTGTCCTGTTAGGTGAAGAGGATGACAAAATGTCAGGTCTTCTAGACACGTTGAGCGGAAATCTGAGTATATTTGGCATGTATATCGCACCTATCAAATGTAATATGATGCTTCAGGACCGGTCTGCGACTACTCTTATTTTATTCATGGCAAGTGAAGTGGTGAAATGTGTCGACCATTTCACTTGCTTATGGAGTTGCATCAGCCCTAACGGGCTGGTTGGTGACGAAATCTCAGCTCAGTTTCAGAAATCCCGATTATCATTTGCTAACTTGCGTCATCTGTTGCATTGGCTGTTGAGATATCCGATTATCTATCAAAGGATGATTCAACTGCGCTGCAGTCTGTTCTGTCCTGTTATACGGTTGTAACATGGGCGTTAAAAGTAGAAGACATGAAACGGTTACTAGGTTTTTGTCATAGGTGTCAGGTATGTTCAGGTATGCTGGAATCACCTTATGAGCAATGTTGAAGTCGGGCGAAGAATACAAGGCAATATATGCAAGTCGATTGGTGAGGTTTGAACCTTAGTCGATTCCAGTGGCTTGGATATTTTTTGGGTATGCCCAGCCACCGTCTTCCTTGACGTGGGAAGTTGGAATGGGATTCAGAGTGGCCAGACCAAGACATGGCACCAGTCGATGAAGTCTATGGCTGTTGGTCTGATTCGTGTGGAGAGTTGTAGGCTGTCTGGTTGGGGTCCCTGCGACGAAAGGAATCAATGGTTGAGGACTCTTGCTGACATGGCTGAAAATCAGTCACAATAGCATAGATGTATTCACTTGTTTACATCTTCTAAAGTTTAAATACTTGCACTATCTTTAGATTCTTCGTTCTCTTACAGAACTCTGTTTACCTTGATATCAGTCTTATTCTCTCTGCCTATTCTTTGTGTACTATTGTGAAGTATGGGATATTGAGTCGGTGCACTTGTGTGTGAGCTTCTACGTTGATTCTTTCTTTCTGTCTACCAACAGTTAATTAAATATAAGTTTATTTCAAGTTGTTATTCATCGAAGACTGACATCAGTTGGAGGAACAAAGAAAACCTGGGAGCACTGGACAGCTGTTTCGTCCTAGTATGGGACTCCTCAGCAGTGCGCACCCACGACCCCACCAGCAGGGATCGAACCCGCGACCTTCAGGTTCCGCGACCAGCGCGTTACCATTGAGCCACTGGGTCAGAATCCAATGCTCCATATTTCCAACTTCTGTTAGCTCACGATATATATATAGGGTCGTGGGTGCGCACTGCTGAGGAGTCCCATACTAGGACGAAACAGCTGTCCAGTGCTCCCAGGTTTCCTTTGTTCCTCCAACTGATGTCAGTCTTCGATGAATAACAACTTGAAATATTTCCAAATCTCCACAACCCCCTCAAAATTTAATTGAACTAGTGCTCGTTGGTGACTAGCTTCGAGAAGTATTCCCGAAGTTCCAATGACAAGTCGTGACCGGTGGAGTCAAAGCCTGATGGCCGTGAGGACAAATACTCAACGATGACATTGGGTGGCGGTTTGCGCTATATCGTGAGCTAACAGAAGTTGGAAATATGGAGCATTGGATTCTGACCCAGTGGCTCAATGGTAATGCGCTGGTCGCGGAACCTGAAGGTCGCGGGTTCGATCCCTGCTGGTGGGGTCGTGGGTGCGCACTGCTGAGGAGTCCCATACTAGGACGAAACAGCTGTCCAGTGCTCCCAGGTTTCCTTTGTTCCTCCAACTGATGTCAGTCTTCGATGAATAACAACTTGAAATATTTCCAAATCTCCACAACCCCCTCAAAATTTAATAAGTTTATTTGTTATAATTTTGTGGAGGTTACTTCAAATCCTTATCTATTCTATAACGCAATAGATGAATTACTGGAATGTCAATGGTTTTAATTTTCGTTTTAATATATCTTTCTTAATTCTTGTTTTCATTGTTATTTTAGGATTCCTCTCAAGGGAATAGCATCTATCAGTTGGATATGATCAAGCGTATTAAATCATCATTTCCAGATTTACAAGTAATCGGAGGGAACAGTAAGACGGGTCGTTTTGTTTTTGTTGTTACTATGTGGATCTGATATTTACCTTTTCTTGACCCAGTTTTATATGTATTAAAATGACTCCACTTTGCATAGATGATACACTTTATGATAAATATACATTTTTTAGATCACATTACTTAGATGATTTTTATTTATCGTCTGTGTTGCATTTTGTGCAATCACACTATTGTATTAGCTATTCATCACCCTATACTAATGGGATGTCTTGCATTCGTTATTATTGCATTAGTATTTTGTTTTTGGTCACTTTGACAGTCTTTTATACGATTTATACTTTTGTCTTCAGTCAGTGTAAAGCGAATGGTAACACTGTTTTGTATGTCTTCAGTTCAATGCGTAAAAATTAATGAAATCTACAGGTTGAAGATTTATTTCACCTACTGTTAGTTGGATTGCTGGTGCTTTAGCATCGATCAAGATCGTCACTATGAATTCAAGCAAGCAAACATATCTGTAAGGAGAACGCGTGGGTTTAGAGTGTTGCGAACCGTTGTTCGAGGTGGGAAGCTCATCTTTTTGTTATAATTCTTAGAACCTACTTTCCTTTTTTACCATTGGAAATGTAGTCTGGCAGGCAATAATGGAACCCTTTCTATGCAGTTTAATATGTACGACGTCGTGAAACTGTATTTTCAGTATTTAAGTAGTTTGAAGAAATTTTGTTGATAACAGTTAAAACACTGAATTATATTATCCTATTTTTGACTGTATAAGTAATTGGGGAGGTGGTGGTAACTTAGTTATTCGGGTTACGCCTATCAAAAAATTGATAAACCCTTGGATTAGGTGTATTTAAATGATACTTATTATGTAGAACAGCTGACTTAGAACTAATTACCTAACATTTTTATGTATTATTACGTTACTAAGCGACCAATAAAATCAACGTATTTCTATCTTATTATTGTCTAGTTATTTTCATAATTATAGACTCGACATAGAGTATGCAAATAATATTTTCTTTTACATTGAAACGCCTTCTAAAATCATCGATTAAAAGCGAAATATACTTCATCTACATTTAGTATGGTGCGTTATAGTTGGTTCTAACCAGCATCTACTTTCGCAAACTTTATTAGTGTGGTTGAAGGCATTCAAAATGTTAGCTGTTGTTAAATGGATCTACCAAAACATTATGAATTCAGGCATCTGTCAATGATATCAATGATATTCTGCATAAAATGCAGAAGTTGGACGAACTTCGTTGTGCTACTGAATTCTAGTCATTTGGATTCGGCTGTTGCAAACTTGAGGCCTGATATTCTCTGAATCAATTATACTAAAAATATTAGAGTTTATAATTTTGATGAATGTGGTTTTAGGGGGAAATGAAATCGGTATATATATATAGGATAATGCAGATGGTTCATGGGAAGTTTAGCAAGAACTTTAAAACTTTAGGAATCAGACCAAATGGTTATATATGTATATAACTGTAAATCGAAAGGGTTTTGAGTGATATCACGAATTTTTAATGCATTCTATATTACTACTAGGGATGAAAATTATTGTGGAGTGGCTTTGTTTTTTATTGATATCGACAGATGACTCCATATATTGTTGTAATTCATGGCAAAAAAATTTGGTAAGGATTTAGTACGACAACGTGCCACATTGAGATTTGAGGTTATATTTTTCTTGTAGTGGAATGGTGATGGTCGTTTTTCGGGAAATAAACTAATTTTCCAAAGATCCAAAAAATGATGTTTAGGTTCAAGATTAGTCTTTTAAACAATAAAGGTCCTAATCAAATGCCTTACATCTGTCATAATACGAATCGGCGATATTATTCTGTACTAGCCTCTCTGTTGCTATCCTTCCAGCTTACACCTATCTTTTTTTTTGAATAAAACTACTGTCAATAATCTGAAGACAAAACTCAGGTAGGGGACCACTGCATGATATATGCAATATAACTTTATATTCTTGAGTCCTTAATTGCCAGTAAACGAACCCAAAAGGCTTTTTGATGTACTTACGCAATGAGTGGAAGGATGAGAATAATTTTGTCGTATAAAATAACTGAAAAACCGGGTGGTATTTTTTTTTAGAGCATAGCACACCACACATATCAGAGTTAAACTTCATTTTCCGCAGAACTGAAGCCTCTTGGATTTTCGCCGGAGTGTTTAAAAAGTCGGAGCCGTATATGTTAAAGACTATTTTTATGTCATCTCCAAATACAAATGGCCTGCTGTACAATTTGGCATCAAATATATCACTTAGGTATAAAAAAGTAATTGTAGTTGGAGTACGCCGCCTTGCGTATCCCCACTGATGAGGCTGACTTTGGACTTTAAGCACTTACGTTCGCTATTCTCGAATGGTTACTGAGGGTTGACATTGACAATTCTAGTAATAAGCCTTGGAATCCACCTTAGAATCGGACATTTTATGACTTACGTTTTAAAAGCCTCGCGAAATTGTCTGAAGAATTTACTGTAACTTGTATAGATCCTATTAATTCTGTCAGGTGATACCGAACAAATAACTGGCAATGAAGCTCACTGTGACTTCATGACACTTCAGTAACCATATTCTGCCACTTGTTCGATGAATTTCTATCATCCCTTAGGAATGGGCTTTGTTGGTTAACCCTTGGCACTGAATTCATTTTTGTTTTTTGAAAATTAAAATAACTGAAAATCAGTTATGAACTATAGCTTAGGTCTACCAATACTGAGTTTCGGTGAATTACGTAAGCTCAATAACGTTGGTGAATGGAACTGTATGAGTAGTTAGAATTTTATTCTCGTTTGTAAGTTTGATAATAGGGTGTAGATTCTGTGCACAAATTTTAACGAATTCGTAAATACGTCATACGTATGTTTTTGGCATCATTTTTAAACTATAGGGATAAATTGAAGTATGAAATTCTCATTGGACTATATTACACATGTGTACGTGGAAAAGAAGATTGGTAATTTTTCATATCATCGTTTGTGTGGTCACAACTGTTTTACGTTGGTAGGTAACTTCACTTAGCCTTTCTACTGAAGCTTTTAAGCCTACTTTTTCTATAGGAAGCCTTTCATCGTCACTCTAGGAGTCATCTGCACTATTACTGAAGAGAAATAGAAAAACTGATGTGCACATTCATTTGAGAATTCAGTTCTCCGTAAAGTCTTAGTGACGTTAAGGTACAGAAAAGGTGGAGACATGTTTAATGAACACCATCATGAACAACATAGGCGTCTACAACAAAGAATACATTTCTGAAAAAAAATTCACTACCTATTCCTACATTCTTTTTCTGCTTATTGTCTTCCAATGATATCATTTTATCGATATTCTGTGACACTGAGTGTGTAATTTACGAATTCATAACTGTTAGATGGTTAAAGTCATTTGGTAAGACAACCAGTACACTCCTCAGCCAAGAGTATCAGAAACCTCGGGTGCCAATAAGTACTGAACTTAGGAACAAGGCTTCCCACTGACCAACCCCAGTCACCTAGCAAGTATGCATTACGTTGATGAGCTTACCTGCTTGATGACTACAAAGTGGAGTCATCTGTGCAATTAGATCAAGAATAGAGAACGTGATAATGTTGATACCACCACGATGCTTCTGCTGAAAGTGGTATTTGTCACCTTCTTAGTAAATAAGATACAAGTGTTTTATCAGCTTTATCATCCATATAAACAACTAGATTTTGTACTTCTTACCTATTTTGACATCAACAAAGTTTTGATCTGCAGTTATCTATCATTTTGAAGTGGATTTCTTATCGTGTGCCTTCGTTTATTACTTTTCCTCTTCGACATCACGGTGATAATCGTAGTATCTATCCGTAAGGACTAGTTACTATAAAGTTACAAGTATGATTCACTTTTGTAGCATTTCAGCTGTTTGACCTGAACTTTTTTATTACACCGAAAAGTGCATAACACCAGGAGGAATGAAAGTGAATACTCTCATTTTCTGCAATTTTTAACCTACTCATGAGTAGGCAAACTGTTCATTTAGTTTTTGTTTTTAAATACGGTGTTTTATCATCAGCATTTCAAATTGATTTGCGATCATCGTTCTGATTATGATATGTTGAGTATATCGATAGAGATATTGATATTGTAGGGTTCGCTCTTAGATATTGTTTTGAGAAACCGCAATTTAGTTTATAGGTTTATGAGATTGATTTCAAATAAGTATTCATCATGGATTGGCGTGTGTTGGTTAACTATCGAAAATCTAGGCGCACTGGACAACTGCTTCGTCCCAGCGTGGATTATGACCCATTTGGTGGATGGTAATGTGTTTACCACAAAATTTGAGGGTTCCAGGTTCCATACTTCGTGGGGTCGTGGATGAGTGATGTCGAAGAGTCCCATACTAGAACGAAACAACTGTCCAATGTCCTCAGGTTTTCAATGGTTTTTAAATTGATGTTAGTCCATGATGTATACTACTACAACAATATCAACATATCGTAAATTCCGTGACTTGAGTTACTAGTCCATTTAATATTCTTGTCGATAATTTTGTGTTTTATGGATCTGAATTGTAGTAGTAATTTGATAGAAACTGAAAACATCACGTATGAATTTGGTTGGAGTTTATTCCTTACTGTATTTCTTTTTTCCCTTCTCCTCCAAAGTCGTAACCTGTGCTCAGGCCAAAAACCTAATCGATGCTGGTGCGGATGGTTTACGTGTTGGAATGGGCAGTGGATCGATTTGTATCACTCAGGAAGTGACTGCTATTGGGAGATCGCAAGCTAAAGCCGTTTATAAAGTAAGCGTAAACAAATATTTTGCTGCCATAAGATGATACATTTGGCGTATAGCTAGTGCCATGTTTCACTATAGACTTGAGCTTTCTGTTCTAATACGGATGTCATGTTAGCATTATGTTCGGCATTCTAACCTCAGTAATATGTACATGCTGTCAGTTTTTTTGTTGAAGATACGATTACTATTTACTGCAGCACTCATGATTTTTACAGGTCTTTGTCAGCTATGGGTCATTGATCTATGCACTCAACTTACAACCAGTGGGTGACGATTTGGAACCTCTTTCATCTACCTACCAAGGTTTGGGCAGCCAGGTAGTATCGTTAGGCTTTGTGTGTAATGAGATGAGATTCATCACCTATTGCACGAACATACATGTGATTGCTGAGTGCAAGTGGTTATTTCTATATATATATATATATATATATATATATATATATATATATATATATATATATATATATATATATATATATATATATATATATATATATATATATATATATATATATATATATATATATCAGTACTCCTGGTGCTTATTGGTGTAGACGTTTGAGTTTTATTCGTTATGCTATCTTTTCATTTACTTTTATTTCGATAAACGATTCAAATCGAAGAGCTTCGGACAGCTAAGGTGATAGGAAATGATATGCATACATCATTTGAGATTTGTACTTGCTGGTTATAAATTTGTATCGTTCTTCAAAGTCATCGCAGCAGAATGTTTGCCTGACTTTTGTGTGTCATTGCGCAGTCATGATTAACTTGTTAAATATCATATTTTCTTTGGTGTTCATTTCTCTTTAATTTCTGTGTAGGTATCTGAATATGCTCGTATGTACGATATACCTGTGATCGCAGATGGAGGGATTCAAAATGCTGGTCATATTGTTAAAGCTCTTAGTTTTGGCGCTTCTGCAGTTATGATGGGTGGACTTCTAGCTGGTACAACTGAGTCACCTGGAGAATATGTTTTTTCAGATGGTATAAGACTGAAAAAATATAGAGGTAATTCTTCATATGCTTTAGATCGTTGTTTATTTCACACATAACACTTATTCTTGTGAGTTTAAATTGTAGTTTACGTCATTGATTCATAACAGAGTGTTATATATAGTTTTCGAAAAACCATTTCTTAGGTTGTTCGTTCTCGGGATGCTTTGCATTCTCAAACAACACGAAACCACTCAACAACCCTGTGCATTTTTGTGCACTAGACAATCAGCCACATGCAGGCGAGGGCTAATGATGCTATGTTTCTGCCCAAACCTCGGCAGGTGTATAGGTGTTCAAATCAGCGACTCAGATTGGAAGTTAACTATTTAAACCACGCAAATATCATTACTCATAGGATAGGTTGAAAAACTCTAAATTTCTTCACTGAATACGCTAGCCGTCGATTTACAGAAGCGATTTTACTATTGTTACAATGAAGCGTTAATTTAGCTAAGGAAAACCACTTGCTCTTGTGGAGCTGAGTACATCGGCCATACCATGCATCCGCTCATAAAACGTGTCCGCGAACACTGCCCAGCCTAGACGGCAAAGAGAGAACAAAAATGTATCTTCAGTTCAATAACAGAAAACTTCATGAACTCAGGCCACTTAGCTCCTTTTGAGAGCTCATTCAAAATTCTCTACAGGGTTCGATCAAACCACTTGAAGGAGTAAGATCAAGGCATTTGTTTATGGCTGAAGCACTAGCCATCCAGAAGTTCAAACGAGCGTAATGCTTGCAAAAAAGGTACATCTAATCTTTACTTTGCCATGGCCATCGTAGAGCCTTGTCTGTCATAGATTCATTTCGTATCAAGTAACTACACATATTTCCTTCATACCTTATTCATTTTCCTACTCTGTTTTTGCATTACGTAATCACAATCCTATTTTCATGATCCCCTGTTTATTTTCATATTCTGTCGTTGGTTTATTCGGCATTACATAATCGCAATTTTATTTTAATAACCCTTCGTTCAGTTTCTTATTCTACCATATATCCTATATTACGTAATTACACTTAACTTCATAATCCCTTGTCTATTTTCCCACTCTAAACGCAAATGTGTATCAATTAACTTGCTTTAGTTACTCAATATATTTTGCCCCCAAACCGGAAATAATTCTGGAACGTTCTGTCCACTGTAACATATATTCCCGAATGTACAGCTTAGTAGATGACTTCGTCGAAAGGAAAAATTTTCCTTCTCTGAAACCACGTCTTGTCTTTTCCTATGATCATATGGGTGTATTCCGCTGTAAGGAAATTTCCTTCGGTGCTACACATACAGTGGAAAAACTTCCTGTTTTACAATGGATCGGAATATATTACATGTTGCTAAATAAGTATTCATTAATAGGTTCTTCTTTCAAGGCGCAGTAATTCACTCTGCTATTGTCCATTGAAAAGTTTCAGTACATGGTTGTGTGCTTTTTCCGTAACCTTATGCATCTTTGTCATATTTTTCTTACTGATAATGTTATTTCAGGCAAATTGTAAGTTTTACTAACGAGAAAACTAACCATTCTGTTAGCTCTACGTCAGTATTAGACAGCGGTTTTTGAAATCGAACTAAAGTAGAGAAAGCTCTCTCAAACCTGGTGTATGGTAGAGTGTGACTAACTGGTTTAAACTATTTTCAGTTTGGACGGTCATTATTTCGGGCGTATTATTTACTGTACTCTTTAACATCGACTCGTATTTTTTGTCGTTCGGATGTTTAGGGTGGAATAAAACAATCCAGTGATACAGTAATCACAAAATGTAGTTTAATTGAGTCTTGTAGTTTTAAAAGTAATAGTACCTATGGTTATTCACTTTCTGAACAGTATTCACGATTTGTGAAGTAGATTCAGGCTGGAAAAAGGCTTGGAATGGCCAGACTAAAACATGGTATCACTGCATGAAGTCTTTGATTGTCGAACTGAGTCATATAGGGAAATGTAGATTTTTGGTTATTGTTTGCGTATTAACAGAAGCTAGTAGTTGGAAACTCTGAGTGATAGAATCGATCTCAGTGAAGCAGATGTATTCCGCACATTGTCGTCTTCTTAACCACTATACTGAATTCAGCATTTTCTCATTCTTTTCCTGTCCCTTTTACTTCTGCTAACTGCTTTTGACTGATTCTACTTCATTAATTCGTCTTTCATCTCATTGCTTTGTTTGATGTGTTGGTACGAAGTTTGGCAACTTAGACCGTTATGCAGTAATACGTGCTGATGATTCGCGATTCGTGTGACTTTAACAATGCAAAAAAGTGCACGGCTGGGATCTTTAACTTGTTGAAGGTTAAATTCAGGATGTTGGTTATTCAGAGTATTGATAAGTAACTAGTAATACACAGACAATTTATTTGAATTGTAGTAAAAAATTAAGTGAACTTGTAACCTTATTGAGCTTACCTAAACCCCCTTAGTGTACCTACTGTTCATGAAATCTTGAGATGGATGTGATTCATGCAGTTATCAGTAACAGGTGGTTGGAATCATTTGTTTGAAATTTCAAGTCGGTCACAATGATCCATTTGTACCGACATTCAGTCGTATGGTAAGGAATGGATATTTCCTTATGAAATAACTATTTGTTCTACATACTATGTTGCGTTTTGAAGTTTTTATTACAGCAGGAATTTTTTCACGCACTGATTATTTCCTCTGAAGTATTGCACTTTGTGTTGATAAACATGTTTTGGGCTGTTTTCTATACTTTTATGATTGTTTGGAGAGAATGAGACCAGGCTTTCTATATTAACGTACCAATGCTGTGCTTTCTTCAGTAGGCTTATCCTACGTTAACAGATTGTATTGATAAATTATTGCAAACCTAAGGGTGATTAGCCGTCATTTCACCCTTATTAGATTTCTTAGTTTTGTACTTACTAGTAACTAGTTAAAGAGCTGTCACGAATTCGCCGCCATTACTTTCCCTTTCAAGATTGGTAACTCTGGTTAGAAAGAGTGATTGTACATGGTATATCATAAATTAACAGAGTTGGTGAAGTTGATTGTCTTCAATCCATACTAGTAGCTGATGAAATGTGATGTTCATGCGTTTGCGTTCACCATGAATCTTGGTGCATTTATGAAGAGTAGATATAGCTCATTGAATAAGGAGCTAAATTTCCAAGCAGTTAGTCTGTGATTTGAACTTTGCTACACCTACTTTGACATCAACAACCGCGTGGTCTCACAGGTCCACACAATAAGTGTGACTCATAACCCCTGACGGGAATACATACATAATCAACGTAGAACCTCATACACAGGTGCATCGGTTCAACTTACCACGGTTCATAGTAATATCTAAAGAACAAGTGGATAGAAAAAGAGCGATATCAAAGTTGACAAAGTTCTATGAGCGAATAAATAATCTCAAGATAATAGATAGTGTAAGTCTTCAAGCTTTAGAAGATGTCAAGTAGTGAATACATCTGCACCATTGTGACTGATTTTCAGCTGTTTTGCCAGGAGTCCTCAACCACTGATTCCTATAGTCTTGGAGAATCCAGCCAGCAGTCTACATCTCCCAACACGACCAAGACTAACAGGCAGGGACTTCATGAACTGGTGCCACTTCTTGGTCTGGTCACCCTTAACCCTAATCCAACTTCTCTTTGTTTGGTACATCGAGGTTGGTGGATTGGCATGCGCAGCAAATGTTCAAGCCACCTCAGCCAATGAAGGTTCACAACCTTATCAGTTGAATTGCATGTCTTGTCTAGTACCCTTCTCTGGACCCCACAGATCATAGTACATAAACTTTTAGTGGGTGCAGTAACATCATGATTTACAATATATATGTTATACAGCGTGTAACCTTTTATGTTATGTATCATGTTCATACGTGTATATGTATATACACATACATATATCTTCTTTACTTATGACCTTTGTTAAAATCAGCAGTAATAGTTATTTATTGCAATTTTCATCAATTATTATGACTAAAGGAACACAATAAATTGTTGACGTTGCAGACATTCGCCAAGGGGAACTTGGTTATGACGCAAGATTGCTTTTCAGTAATATTTCTTAGAATATACTTATCATTCCAATCCGACTAAAATCTGCCTAGTCATTATTTTTTTCATAATAAGAGGTAATCTTTCTCACTAATGCATATACAACTATTTCGCATGGGTAATTAGAATTTGTAAAGATGAGATGAAAATAGGGTGGAATGAGATTTTCGCAAAAGGAAATGCAATTCTTTCTAGTGTATTGTTGCTAATATTTATTTCAGACAGTGTTTCTTGTTAGCTAGTCGATTGAGCATAGGAATTTGTTGACTTTTATTTTGATCAGATTAAGCACTATCTAGATGTAATTAAATCTTACACTAACAAACTATGCTGCTAATACTATTTTCTAGTCTACAACAGGTGGTGGATATATTTCTTTTTAACAGTCAGTCAGACAGACAAACTCAATGCAGGACCTCGTACACAAGTTCAAGTTGCCACAATTCACAGTAGTATACAAAGAACAGATGAATAGAAAACCAATGATATCAAGGTAGAGGAAGCTGTGCGAGAGAATAAACAATCTAAAGATAAAGCTTCTTGCAAATATACAAGCTTTAAAAGACACAAAAAAGTGAATACATGTGTGCCATTGTGACTGATTTTCAGCCATGTCACTAACAGTCAATCTTCAAACACTGATTCTTATTTTCTTAGGGACCCCGACTAGGCAGTCTGTACAGCTCAGATCATCAGTCAGGGATTTCATTGACTGATGCCACGTCTTGGTCTGGCCACCCTGAGCCATCTGGCAGCATAATCCAACTTTCGCCAACACTGCATATCAAGATAGGGAGTGACTGGGTGTGCACAGTACATATCCAAGTCATCTCAGTCGTTAAACGTTCACAACCTCACTGACTGACTTGTATGTCTTACCCAACACCCTTCGTCTGTCCTCCACAATGCTCACACGGTGATTCCACCAAACGCGAGAAGACACCTATGATCAAAACCTGGAGCCGCTTCACGTCGTCTTTTTTAAATGACTGTTTCACAGCCGTATAACAGGAGAGATCGGACTGCAGCGCAATATACTCATCTTTTTGATACGTAGTTGGACAGATAATGCCACAGATGACACGTTAGCAAACGTCAAACTGGCCTTCATACAGTCTAGATTCATTTTACCCCAGTACAATAACTACCTGTACATCTGTTAACTAGGCAATGCAAAATCATATAGGATTCTCATCTGTCCAAGCTGAAGTATTCAGATTAATAGACAACTAGTTGTTGAGACCACAGCATCTTAGCCATTACATTTGAAGTTCAGATTGTCTAAATCCTGACAGTTTTCTTTTTGCGGTGAAGTTTTTGTTACTTTCTTGTAAATGACTCGAAAGAAAATTGGAAATCCCACTTAGCAACCTTATACACACTTATTGTGAGGGTTAATGATACTATCTAGCTGTTCAAGACCTCGATAGATGAAGCGGTTCTCGAACCAGTGAATCCATCGGTTGAAAGTCGAGTGGTTAGATGAATATGACACAACCTCTTGTCGCTAAATAAATCTGAAAGAAATGCACATGATGAATTTGCTTCTTATGGGACCTTTTTTATATTAGCGAGGATTTCTCAATCTCTAGAAGTAGAAATAACGTGATAGAAAGTAGGATAGGTAAGATCTTAGTTGTATTTCCTTAACAGCCTCATATGCATTAGTCAATGTATGACCTTTGTATTTTGGAGGGATGATTGTGTTTACAGGGATTTGTTTGTATAATATGTTACCTTGGATTGTTTCACTGCACAAAGATGAATGAAATTATTGTTAGCTATTCCTTGGCTTTAAAATGTAAGTTTTTCAGTGCTGTTTGGATTAAGGTTAAGCGGATATGAGGCTGAGAATTTTATATTGTTTAAGTTTAGAATGACGGTGTATTAGCCGAAATAACTATCGCTTTGTTTGACGGTATTCATAAAACATTTCGAATCCATGTGTCTAGTTGTAACTTTCCATTTGCTGTCACAATTGACGATTTTGAGCATTAGTAGTATCAACTTACATCATCTGACTTGTAAGCAACAGAATCAGTGCAGAAATCTTGTTGCTACTGGAAGGATAATTTATTGATTCGTGTATAGCTGATTACTTGCGCTAGATGATTTTTTTTTTATCCATAGGGTATTCGCTCAATAAAAGTATCAGATGATTATCAAATAAGTCACACTGTGTCAAATGTGCATGTTCTGGTTTACAGTACATAACTTCTGAATAATAGTGGGTAATTTAAAAGAAATCTAAGGTGTAACCTTCATGTTTATTGTTTTTCACTGTACAACTGTGTCGTGGCAGTCTGATTGAACCTTGAGTCACTGAAATTTTCCACCGAACGTATCAATTTTTTCTTTCCAATTGGTTTTGTTACTGACTTGTGTGTTTATGTTTGGATTTTCCAAAATGCTAAAGATTCGATCAAGTCACTTGTAATATCTGTGTTAACTTTCCAGTAAATCTATTTAAAACTGTATGCTTATATTCAGATTTACTTAAAGTCGCCTTTATTTTCACAATTTAAAGGTATGGGAAGTTTGGAAGCAATGTCTCAACATACAGAAAGCCAAGCTAGATATTTTAGTGAGTCAGATCGTATTAAAGTTGCTCAAGGTGTCTCGGGTACAATCATAGATAGAGGTTCTGTACATCAGTTGGTACCCTATTTAGTTGCGGGTGTTAAACATGGATTACAACAAATTGGTATCAGGAATATAACGGAACTACATAATATGTCACGGAGTGGAAGATTGCGGTTCGAATATCGAAGTCCGTCTGCTCAGCTGGAAGGTGGAGTACACAGTCTGTATTCGTAAGTCTTCTCAATAACTTCCGTTTATGCACTGAGTATTTCATGTAGTCTTTCATATGCTACAACTGTTTTTCATTTTATTTTAAATGAGGCTATTAGTAGTTGTTTCGCCATCAGTAAACTGAGCATTTATATGGATAATGGTAATTTGTGCCTAATATATATGATTCATCCGTCTAGGCTTATGTTACTTTTTCCCGTAGAATAGCTTCGCTTTTGGTACTTTCACTGCTTATTTTGAGCGTTTTTATTGTTATTTGTAAATAACCAATCATATTCTGTGTTTTGTGGCTGCGACCCCTTTCCCTATAAATGTTGTGAAGAAAAGTATATCATGAGTTCATTCATTAAGCGAAATCATTTTCTACTGTTGGGTTTCAGATGCCCTACATTACGTTGATCTCATGTAGACGAATGTATATAAGTGAAGTTTTATGAAGCGTCGAGTCCCCATGTTTGCTTCCTATTATATGGTTATTGTGGTTTTCATAATTCTGAATGTTTTGGTTGATGTAACCTAATCAACAATAAAACTAACAAAGTAGCCTTAGTTTACTGCTTGATAGTCAACAATTCGTGCGTGAAACTGTGATCCATACACTTAAGCATTCAACTTTCTAGTACTCGATTGTTTGTTTGGTTCCTACACCGTCTAATTAGACCTAGGCGACCGAGTACTATTATTAGTCGTGACACCATAAGCTTGACTTATAAATCCAGTGCATAAACCTGTATCAGGTATATGTGTCTACCAAACAAATCAATGCATGTGAATGATCAACATTTCTCACAATGTGGTCGATCGGTAGGGATCCCTGGCTCAGTGGTTTAGAGAGCTGACTATCAACCAGTGGGTCACGAAATTCGGGCAACCATGTAATATCACCATCCCTCACACAATAGGTGTGGCTCATTGCCTACTACATGAATGTGGATATGGTGGCTAAGTGCGTTTCAATCGATCTGTAAAGCAGATGGCGAATTTGTTGTTATTGAGTAATAAAGATCAATAAATCGTCCAAATGCCTCCAAATATTTAATATTGAGAATTGAAAGTTTATTTAACCAAGTCTTTGTGTATTAACATTTTCCATTTTTTCCCTTTCAGGTATGATAAACGTCTATACTAATTGTCAAATATTTCTACACATTTTGAGATTTACACCAAGTTGGCCTGTCCATTCAAACAAATCATGCAAACCTTTTTTTGATTTTTCGTCCAGTTTTATCAACTCTGTGTTGTATTTAAAAAAAAAAAATATTTGTAATTGTTTATTATTGCTTAGATTAGAGTATAACTATGTTTGTGTGTAAATTCGGATGTTTAATAATCCTACTCAGTTTCATTCACTCCTTTTTGTTGAAGTATTTTTTATAGTTTTTCGCTAAGTTTTGTTTAAACTTTGAGATGAAATAAAGGCTGAGAGTTTTGGAAGTCAGTGTTTTTTTTTATCATAAGCTTTGCTCCAACTATTTTCTAAGATTATTCAAAATTACGAGGTTGGTTTGTGCTACTTATGCGTGGGACTTTTGTTATCATTTAGAAAATGGAGTATTTTAAGTATACAACAGATTCATATGTGGAAAGTTGAACGTGGCCAACTATGCAGGACAGAGTGAACAAATGAGAAGAGGGTAAAAGAAAGCTAACGAAACTGAATACTAGCAGTAATGAGTCAGTAGTAGCAATGGTCAGGAAGCAGAAAAATAGTGCAAGATAGCTATCCAATCAAGGTGTAGAATATGTACATTTCTGTTACTGAGATTTTCTAAATAATTGTGGTCTGTCTCTTAGCTATACTGTACTCATGAAAACAATATGCCATTGTCATATGAACGGGTTCTTATTTCGTATGTTATTGGAGGTGATTGAATCACTCTAGACTGTTTAAAATGTCTGATAGTTTGTTTACGAATTATAACAATAATAATGATGACCCCTATTACTTGAAGTGAAATCGTTATTTTTTACTTATTGTAAATCACTGGAATTGTCAAGGAGGATTGGACTAGGATTTTATATACATTTTCAAAGCATATCATGGGGATGTGAAGATCTGGTTTGGTATGGCGTAATATGTAATAGGTTTCACTTGATAGATGGAACTGCATTGTTGAGGTCTCCCAAACAAGGACAAAAAAGGTGTCTAGTTCTCTCAGGTTGTCAATGGTTCTCTGATTGATGTCAGTTCATCGTAAAAGTTATTTGCAACTGACAATAAAATGCTGTCAGGAATGGAAAATACATTCAAAAAAAGAGTTGCATCAGCTCAAACGGACATTTGCTAACTCACGTCATCTGTGGCACCAACTAGCGGGATATCCTACTACCTATCAAAGATCATAGGTGTCTTCTCGCGTTTGGTGGAATCACCGTGTGAGCATTGTGGAGGACAGACGAAGGGTGTTGGGTAAGACATACAAGTCAGTCAGTGAGGTTGTGAACGTTTAACGACTGAGATGACTTGGATATGTACTGTGCACACCCAGTCACTCCCTATCTTGATATGCAGTGTTGGCGAAAGTTGGATTATGCTGCCAGATGGCTCAGGGTGGCCAGACCAAGACGTGGCATCAGTCAATGAAATCCCTGACTGATGATCTGAGCTGTACAGACTGCCTGGTTTGATCCCCTGAAGTTTTTCAATGGCCTTCCACCAATGACAGGGCAGTAATTACGTGTTTATTAAAGTGAAACTAGGAATTAATTCGTAATTTAGAATTTAATGTGCGTATTACGAGTAGCTTTCGTTAAAATGCCTAATATTTAGAAGAAACATCATATAGAGTACACAGTTATACGTTATTGGGGCTAGTGTCTTTTCAGGGGAAATTTAAGGCTCATTGACAGAGAAAAAGGCAACTGCACTACTGAGTGGATATGCGCTTTACTGAGAACTATTTGCCAATGCCTGAATATGCAAATGGAAAACAAATTAACAACTTAATCTTGCAGTCGGAAAATCACACCAACTTTAGAGATATCTTTCTTAAACATTAAGGTAAATTTAAAACTAAACTAGTTCGTTATAAACTAAGCTTTGCAAATCATTTCATCAAAATACTTATCAGATAGGTAATTATATATAAATCTTTAATAAATCAGTGTTCTCAGCAGATAAAAGAAAAACTTGGAATTTTGTGTTGTTCCAAACTTTTGAAATGCGGCTGTTGGAGATGAAATCCAAGTAGAAGTGCATACCTACAAGTTCCCCCACTCTACAATGCCACGCCAAATGAGACAGAATCGAAAAAAGGTTGCATAAAGGGCATGAGAGAAGACAGAATGTTGGTTCCTATCATATCCAACCGGAGAGTTCACACATTCTTATGGGGGATGATCGGACAGTTAGGTTTCCACTCACTTCCGAAACCGATTGTTTTATTTCCATCACATTCGAGCGTGTCGCAAGTGCTACACTATCAAGGACGGCTAAACGGAAGCTATTTTCGGAGTATTTTTGTCCTATAGATTACAAGATATGAAGAGGATGTAGGAAGTAGACTATTATGAATGCGACTGCAGGCATTATAGCTTTATTCATTCACGATGCATTACTAGAACAACAATAAATAAGTTCCTGGAGGTTGGACATAGTTCACATTAAGCTGGGTCAGTATGACGTATGTAATGGCTTTGAATAGTAAGTGATGCAGTAATAATAGTTTAGACATAATAGCTTGTAATTCGTCGTCGTTGATTGGACCGAATCGATCGTCCACTGTTGGCATATGAGCTCCTATGCGGATAACTGGATGTTGCTTTTTTCAGTTTGATATTAATGATGGATAGTAGTGACTTGTATTGGCCGATGAATTTGGTTGAATTGATGATAGGAAATTACGAGGTATAATTTCTAAGCCATACTTTACATGTCGCACAAGGAGTGGCTATCAAGGTTCATTCGCCTACGAGATAACGCTCTAGCGTTTGGAACAACTGGTCTTAAGTTTGAATCCTAATGGGAAACACCACTCATTGAGAGGCAAGTACTTTCAGCTGACAAGTCCCTAATGGAATGAAAAGCGTGCTCTGGATTCCTCTGCTAGCCACAATCCATCACTAACAACAATATCGTAGAATATTCTAGACTGTGGGTGTAAAACATTAATTGTCCTATCTGTACTTTTCCATCAGTAGCAGTCTGTTCGATTGAAAAATAATGAAGTGAAACTTTTAAAACGAAAAGGACCAAAACCTCACATATATAGCATTTTATTAATTATCTACAAGAAATTAAACTGAGTATAGTATTTAAAACTTTGCGATATGTATGAATACCGTTCAGTATGAGATGGACTAGACAGGAAATACGTAGCCATTTTATAGGGATGGTTAAAGTTGTTTTGGTCAGTAAGTTGAACTACATATAGCCGCATAACCTGCCACTTGGTTTTTAAAAATGTATTACACAAGTTTGCTTATCGAAAACGTTGTGTCGATGAGAAAAAGCATAGTATTTCACTTTCCACTAGTTATGCACATATTCTCGCATCGAATAAGAGGAGTGTTTTGTAGGTTCAAAAAACGTGAATTTTATTCTTCTATGAATTCAGTTAGTCTTTAAGGTTAAAATATAATTTATACAAGGCATTCTATAAATAAATATACATATTATGAGAAACTTTGAAGCTACTTATTCACATGATAAATGTCTTTTGAAAATGGCTTACCGGACAGGAAAACAGAAGTATGCGATTAAGCCAGTCACTATCGCAACAAATTAGATGTAAATTATAGTTCTGTATAGCAGACTGATTGTACTGTCTTCAACGTATGATTTATCTAGAAGAATAAATCAATACTTTTCATCAGTAAAATGGTCTGTTTTAATAAAATCACCTTAGCTTTCTACCAATAACAGCAAAGAACTGAGATAATGGCTCACACATCACTTTGTTCAGTTCACTAGTAATTATTTAATTTGGGACTACTACATTAAACAAGTTGTTCAGTGTACATTAATGTATTACACTTTACTTGACTGTATTCAACTAGTGCATATATTATTGTATCAATCTAGAATATTTTGGTGGTTGTATTTAACTACATAATTCACTACGACTTGTGTTATGACGTCAGAAAAATTATTAGTACGACTAGCCTTTTATATTACTTAATGTAACAGAAAGGAAGGAATGGAACTTTTTACAGAAAAAAGATTTATAGATACAGTTTCCATAGATGGATGTAGCAAAAGCTCATTGTGTTACGAAATATTACTCTTCCAATTACATTATTACAATTATTATTTACAGTCAGTTTCATCGGGTTTGGCAAATACACTTTTGGCTGCTTTATTAACCTGTAGGCATTCTCTTAGGGGCGTTTCAGTATTCTATGAAGTATAAATGCAAAGAAACACAATTTCGTAGTCAGACATTTGGTTAGAAATTCGCCTAGAAGTTATCAGGTTCAACTTTCGTTTGTCTTGCGCTTTCAAAGATAAGTCAGTTATTGATGAAGAAGGACGCAGACATGTTGTCATCATCTCATGTGACTGCAGAAATTATCTTTTGGAATTCATACACAGTTGGACGTAGAGATTTTTTAAACTTTTCTTGATACTGAGTAACTGCTTAAGATGTTCATCTTAAGATCTGGAAATTCTCTGAATATTGTGTAACAGAATAGACAAAATGGATAATTCTGAATTCACTGAACAGGTATCTGTTATGAAGTACTTGACTTTAGGAGGTGATCAGATGAACGCCATTCCTTCAAGTAATTAATCGTAGCTTGTGATGAATTGCCAAAACATATGCTTATTTAGCGATTGAAGATGTCAGTTACACGAAAGCGACACGACTTTATCAGAGTTGTGAGGAACACTACACAGTCAGGTACTGGTTCTTTGAATCTATGGATACAAAAGTTACGAAATAATTCACAAGACTTCACTATATGTTATAAAGATTAGACCGTCTCACAAGAAATGTATGTTAATTTTACTATCATGAAGGATGATTTGTTGAGAAAAAGTTCAAAAACTTAGTGATATTACAAGTGTGACGTATGAAAGTTTATTTTTTGTTAAAAAATGGTTCATTATTTTGAAATAAGGAAGTAATTCATCATGCAGCATGTTTTTCATGTTAGTTACCAACAAAGTTGTATTGCCATACTGTAATGATCAAAAGCATTGGTGTAGTTAGATTAAAATATCATTTGTACAGTTGTAGCTCATTGGTGAATACATTAGACCTTCATCCAGTGTGTCATAGGTCCGAACCTCGTTCCACCTAGCAAGGTCTTGACAGCCGAGCAATATTATTGGCTTCCAGATGATAGGTGTAGCTCATTACGTGTTGCATGAGTGTGCGTATGGACGCTGAGTACATTTCACGTTTTCAAATCGAATATTTCATTTATCAGGAGACAAAACAGTTTACCACGGCAGATAAATGAAGTGAGAAAAACGTATTTTTCTGT